AATGAGAATGCTCTTTGCAAGGGTATGCGATTATTAATTCCATTGGCTGTCCTCGGTAATTATAAACGGATTGTTATGTAAACGTTGATTACGGAAATTAGTTGAGAGGACGATTCGAAGTTCGCGGCGAAAATACTCAAAGAAAATTAATCGGACATTCCCAGGATTGCGTAACATTAATGCTTAAAAATGAAACGCCACTTTCTACGACTTCCATGTACCGTATGCAGATAAAATATTGTGAGTTTACATGGTTTCAGGCTTTTTCATAGGGAAATGTACCCGCGGTAAAAAATATCTAGGCAGTTTTACCTTTATATTCTCATTATAACTATAATTCTCGTCGATTTGCAATAAAAATTTGCAACAGTTGCAATAGCAGCTGCAATACTCAGGGAAAAATGTTAATATTAATAAGAAATTACAAAGAATTAATCTCATCGATAAATAAAATGGAGTTTTTTTTTTGAATAAACCGGTAATTGAAAAAAATGTTGAATTGAACCTCTTGGGATTTGGTTGTAACAAAAAAATGTCACAATTTCTGGGGGAAAATTTTGAGTGGAAATTAGAATTTGGAGATTTCCTCGGGTTTAATTTTCAACGGGTTATTATAAATTTTCGTCGGTATACTTTATCGTTATTGTGAATTGTAAAATTATGAACCACTGTAAATAACGGTAAAAAAAACAGCATTAGGTGCTCGCAAGATCCCCAAATAACAACTTTCTCATTCATTACTGCTCACCGTATTACCGGTGGCAAAAGCGTGACTCCAGGGCATTAACTTCTGTCTCCCCACTGCAGTTATTCAATACAAATACCAACGAAAGAGCATTGCGGATGCAATTAGGTGACACTTTAATTTTACCAAATTCTATTCAGGGATTTTTTTCATCACTGAGGAGAAAATCACGGCCGACAATATCATTTGCTAATGCGACGTGTTGAGGAAGAAATTATCAATCATCAATTTGTCTTGTAAATTAATTACTCGAGATGGAGAAACATGAAGAAACTTTTTCGTAACTGATTTAATTCAGGATAACAATTGTCAGAGTTCTAGGGTAATTAATTGTTTTTTAGATTAATCGTTTGTTGACTAAACTAGACTATTTGATTTATATTTTGGTGGGGGAATTTAAACGATTCATTTGTCTTGTGGTACTTTATGTCTGCTAGATTCGTTCAATTATGTAATTACGCAATTTTAATGGTTTCCAAGATTTAAGTGTTGTTGCATGAATTCGTCGATCATACTCTGGAGAACTTTCTTTGGTAGCGTAATACATAGCGTGGAAGTTATTGAAATTATGATACAATAACAAGAAATTCCGGCGAATAAACATCAAAGTAGTTCTGATGACACTGGGTTTTTTCCATTTTAGGACTAGATCTTCCTGAATTTTTGGGCAAATTAAGTTTTTGGTTTATCATTATTAATTATTATTGACAAATTTTAATAGTTGACGCACTATTTTTTTAAATTTTTCGGCAAGTTCTCTGTATTTTTGCGAAGTTTACGGAGACCGTGAGAAAATTCTTCGACGGTCATGATTTTTTTTAAATTCACACGCGTAATTCAAACATTTACTTCTCAGTTAAATCGCCTGATTACCCTTTACCTCTTCGCTATTGAATTAATACCACAAAAAATTCAGACCCACGGATAGGTTTTGAATAAACGAAGGACATGGGGAAGATAAAAAAAATATCTGGGATGAACAGAGTCAGAGATCTCTACAGAATATCAGAATCCGGTATTCCCTATTACGAAAAACGAGAAATAAAATGACTGAAGGCCTCCAATTTGAACGTTGGCGGTAGGAAAGAATTTCTGAAAAGAGAAATCATAGTTTTGAGGAGAAAATATTTATTAACGCGATATCTCGAATCCTCTGAGGAGTAGGTGTACTATGAGATGTTGTCAAGATAGCGTATCGTTACAATTATAGTGATCGTTATTAGACAAAAAGAGAAAATAGTGGAAAATTGTTATTGCCGGATATGACTCGATGGATCCGGGGAATTCCATTGCGATGGGGGTTTTGAGCATGAGCACTCTTTTTGTGTCTGCTAAAAGTGAAACCTCGTGAATGAAAGTAGGCAAACGATTACAGCCCAGAATGACGTGCAAGGTAGTGTCCGCATGCTCGCGAGCAATTCCTCTTTCCCTTTTCATTCCAGTGATTGTTTCGCTACTTTAGTACATAGCCGATATAAATAACAAGTATGAGTTTGTGAATTCATGCGTAACTCGAGTACAAAGAAATTATCCGTTGTTAAAAAATATCCAGCGTAAACAATTAGCAGAAGTTTGGGTGAATTATTCTTCTTCAATTGCAGATTATCCTTCAATTGCGAATTCCCCTTCAATTGCAAATTCTTCTTCAATTGCAAATTCTCCTTCAATTGCAAATTCTTCTTCAATTGGAAATTCTTCTCCATTTGCAAACAACAAAAATTATAAATTTTTTCATAAAAAAACGTAAAAAAAAATCGCCGGAGCAACAGCCCTTTGAATTCATAAATTTTTTACTCTGACTTAGATACCCCATTTTTTTAACACCCAATGAGAATAAATCCTGAAAATACAACGACTACAGTCGAATACTTCCTTCTCCAGTTTTGCCCTCGGAGAAAGCGTGCGGCTCGTCACGTTGTGTTCGGTATAGCAAGATCATCACTGTCCCCCAATTCTACTTACCCGAAATAATCGATCGTAGAATCTGCTAACTTTCACTTGGTCTATTAGAGATTCGCCATTTCCATAACAACGATTCCAACCAATTTCGTCAAACCCATTAAAAATGCTTTAAATTATCCAACATCTCATTCAAAATCTTCGATCTAACAATCTCATCTAATTATACTATAAAAATAAATATAATTATGTAGTTATAATTATAGTTTTAATTACAACTGCATAATTAACAGATTCCATCCATCTTCTGCAATTAATTTTTAGTCAGTATTGTTTATAAATTTTTCTGCTCTCTATTATCACTGAACAATTTAAAAGGTATAATTTTAATTTTCTGGAACTAATTTGTCACACAATTAAATAATGCAATACCTTTTAAAGCCCAGATTTCCTGATTCTTCAATCCCTCGACGTACCTCGTAATATCCTTGTCACATTGTTTGCCAACAAAGTATTTACCCTCCTGCCAATGCTTCTCAAGATTTTTAGAACTATAAACGTCCAATCGTTCGGCTATCGTACGCCAATTACTATCCGATATATTCACTCGAATATCAGGCAAACTCCTTGGTTTATGCACAGTAGTATCTGCTCTACTGTTTTCATTCGAAGATAAACTCAACTTAGTGGAAGTCTTCAGATCTTCCTCACCAAATACTCCAATAGCAAGGAGAAATACAAAAGTCCACTTAAAACTCATTATGCCACAGTAATTCCTTCTCATATCGTACTCTAATATTTCAATTTATCCTATCACACGTGAATCATTCCCAGAGCAAATAATCATAAATAAATTATCAATACAATTAAACAATTTTGTGAATCACAATTGAGAAAAAAATACCAGTTTTCGCAAACTTTCACTTTCTTGCCGATATTCTAGATTGGAGCGGAAATCTTACTGACATTTTTTGGTAATACGTAAATTTGATAAAGTTCCCATCTTTTCTCATCATCAAGCGAAATCACTCAGGCTCTTGATTTTTTTTTTTTATATTAATACCCCGTTTTGTTCGATTGCCACGGACGAACTATAATGTTTGAGACGTACAGCAGGTGGAGAAATGGTTTTACGTGTCTCTCACCTCTTCCGATGATGTAGAGGTGGGATTATAAACCTGGACTCGTATTGGACGTCGGGATAAGAGACAGGCAAAATTCAAAAGCTCATCGATATAACAGTCAGGATGCAGGGAGTACTTGAAGTCCTTCGTGTACAAGTCAGTGCTCTTGAAAATGCGAGAGTAAAGTGCGCAATGCCCTTCGATTTATCATCGCAAATGTCGACCACCTTGAGATTTATCCTGGAAGTTTATCTGTCAGCGATAATTGAGAGAGTTCAGATTCTTAGAATTAATTTAACGAGGTACTGACGATTACTTCTTACTTTTCAATATTTTTTTTAATAAATTTTCAACAGTAATTGTTTTCTTCCATCACGAGAACAATTATTGAATAAACTACCGCATATTTACTGTTGCTCAAGATTTTCGAGAGCAATAGCTTTCTGGGTATTTTGGGGCACTGACCCATAGAAAAAAAAATATGGGACCGTTCAATTAATTTGAATGATTGCCCATTAACGGTATGAAAAAGTGCTCATGATTAAATAAATCGGTGTTGGCTAATAGCTTTATAAATATATTTGAATAGATTTATAGTCTGATAATGAGAGGTCTTGTAACAAGACGAAATCTTTCTACTTCTTCCGATTGTCATCGCAGAAATCGTGGAAATACATTCACCAGGAAGATGCAGTGTGAAAATTATTCGTAAATTTACCAGTCACGGTAAAAGCCAAGTACTCTTATGCAATTTCAAACCGGACTAAACCTTTTCCTGCATTCTAACGCTTATGACGTTTGAATCTCTTAATCCATCATTTCTATAAACCAGTAGCTAATGAAATTTTGAAGAACATCTCTGAATCTCTGGATCTGAATCAAATTGTTAAAATGAAATATAATAAAGACGTGGATATTAATGCAGATATATGAATGAATGAATATTGCGAAGGATTCGATATTCGCATGATTTAACATTACATCGATGCTGAGGATTTCACCGCACTTGAAGACAAACAAACGAGTATCTTCGACAAGAGCTGTAAATACTGTTATTTTACGAACCACAAACTGTATTTATGTTCTGTCTAGCGCAATAAATAATCCCTCAAACAATCTATCAACCTCTCTTCTACTAAATAACAAAGATTTCTTTCATTGGTCAGCCATTGGAAAAAAAAATAGAAAAGTGCAATTTTCCGTAGTGGAGCTATTCAAAAGGATCCATCGACGTATCGAATTTACTCCAAATCCTTCTTACAACTTTCATTTCACGAATGGTAAATCACGATAAGTCGAATTTATCAATTTTCATCAATTATTTATTTATTCTGATAACCGGTAATGTTATATGGATTTTATTTCCCCATGGATGAAGATGTCGGAGAAGTGTTTCTTCGAATTAAATTTTTCGAGCTTTTATATTTTTATTTTAATATAGGATATTTGGTTGTCCTTTTCTAGCAAGTCTGCTGTATGTTGCATTTACTTTTTTATGTACTGCATGTATTACTGAACTCCGCCATTCATAGGTGGCGTGGCGCATTTTGATTAATATAACCTAAACGTTTGTTTTGTTCAGAAGTCAATGTTTTGAGATTTCTTCGCAACAACAAAGATGAATGATTCAATTAAATTGCCATCGAAGGTCTACGATTCAGCCATACAAACAGCTGCTAATATAATTCAGTACATGGGTATATTATTTTTTTGCCATTAAACAATTTTTCTTTCGTAAATCACTGCTATTTAACTGTTCCAAATTTTTTAGATGTTGACAGTCGTCAGGAAATGATAGATGCTCTTCGCTCTCATGTGGCAAATTATGCAGAAATTGAAGAGAAATTCAAAAGTCTGAAGGAAATCAGTGCAGAGTATGTACAGAATAAGAAAATCATTCAACAACGAAGTAATGAAGATCCGGAACAAGAAAATAATGACTGGGCAGTGGAGAGAGAAAATCTTGATAAAGTATGTGAAGAAGACACGACGAAATACTGTTTTATTCCTTTTCATTGAAAGGGTTTTGAAAATTGAAGGAATATTTATTGATTTCACTGGAATAATTCGTACAGAGTGAATTCCCAAGAAATGGCTCGAGTGTAATACCTTGAGTGTAATACCTTGAGAATTTTTTTTAATTTTCATTTCTTTTCAGGAATATAGCAAGAAAATACACACAATTGAAGTGGATACATCAAACAACCAGAATTTGAGAAAATTCAATCAACAGATTGAACAGATAACATCAGGTAAATTGTTATAATTCGTGTTACACGAAATGGAAGACTTACAGAAATTAAAAGATGCTTTAATGATTTTCCATAGTTTTGAGTGGACAGCAAGAAACTCCTGGAGATGACAATGATGATATGGTCGTGACAGGTTCCATGAATGTCATCTGTCCAATTTCCAAAACGAAAATGATTGAGCCAATGAGAAACGATATCTGTGGACACGTTTATGATAAGGCGAGCGTCATGGAAATGATCAAAAGCAATTCCAAATCACGGTAAATATAAATTTATTACGCTTAAACAATTACTGGTGAAATTGCAAAGACCATGACGTGAAGAAAGTGATGAGAAAACCCTTTTTTTGCATGGCATTTGTTCTAAAAAATTCAGTGAAAGTTTAAAACACTTTAGAAAGTTTTTATAGGAAATAAAATCAAATTTATAATTGAATAGTTCGAATCGATATCCAATTGTGATGCACATCACTCTGAAGGATCAAATAACAAAAGCAATGTTTCTCGTTTTACAGATGTCCACTGATGGGATGCAACAATTCTGAATTCCTCAGGATTGATAATTTGTCCCCTGACATCGTAACTCGCCTCTACCTACAAAGAAATCCATAGAAAAATTTCAAATTATTACCTCAACGTTAACGTGCCAGTATTTGATTCCAAAAAAACAGCGAGAGAGAATTTCAAGGAGCAAACAAAGGATAGGTCATAGACGTCATTCATTACATCTATTTTAATACCATTTAGCTCTCTAATGTCTCCGTACCTTTGTCATGTCTTACTCGTCTTTTTGTGTTTACATTTCAAAATAAACCCAGTCTCCCTTGTAAAAATTCGGTTTTCCTTCGAAAGGAATTTTACAGCTAATTTCACTCAATCAAACGTCTTTTTTTTAATACAGAAAAAATATTAACCAAAAATAAGATTACGTCAATCCCAAGACGATTTAATTAATTCCGCACCTCTAATTGATGATGCCAAGAATGAAGATATGTTTTTTCTATTATTTTTATGGATTGTAACGATTTCGGGCAATGGAACAATTAATGTCAAATGTGATAATAAAATTCTTGAAGGTAAATAAACGAAGTCATCGTCACTCCTGATTTTTTTTTAGTTTAAGAAAAAGAAAGTGGATAGGAAGAGTCGAATAAATATTTCCTCCTGAAAGAGCAGATGACATGAATGTTTCCTACCGACGACTCATGAGTAATGATTATCCACACTGGAGAGATGAAAATTATGATGACCTGTGGCTGGAAAGGGCAAAAAAACACAGATATGTTGCTGAAGCTGAGGGTGATGATGGAAATGGTGATGGCGATGGTGGAGGTGGTGGAGGTGGTGATGGTGGAGGTGGTGGAGGTGGAGGTGGTGATGGTGGAGGTGGTGGAGGTGGTGATGGTGGAGGTGGTGGAGGTGGAGGTGGTGATGGTGGAGGTGGTGGAGGTGGTGATGGTGCAGGTAGTGCAGGTGGTGGAGGTGGTGATGGTGCAGGTGGTGGAGTTGGTGGAGGTGGTGATGGTGCAGGTGGTGCAGGTGGTGGTAGTGAGGACGAGGGTGAACAGTCGGAAATCGAGGAAACCAACGAAAAGTCTGAATCAGCTCCTCAGGATGAGACGGTGACTGAAGCAACAGAGGGTGTACCTCTTGAATATACGGATTACGGTCAGTGTAAATACATAATATTTCTTCTCGAAAAATATTTCTAGATGAAGAGACGGTTGGGACATGCGTTGAAGCGATGGATAACATTTGATGGAAGAACGAGGAAAAATTTTCAGAGGCAATTGATTAGGTCCCCGGAGGAAAAGTGCTGGGATGCTGATGCCACCGATAAACCCGAATACGTTGATTACAATGAAAACAGTGCCGCCTATTTTTACACATCTCCACCTAGTTTTTATATTTATTTGTTTGTACTATATTTACTATATAAAAAAAATTACCAATAAAAAATGATGCGTTGTATTTGTAACTCGTAACTCGATCTCTTGCGACTGCACTGAGTAATTAGATAATTGCGATGTTCTTTTTTTAGATCCTAACAAGACAGAGAAATCCGGAAATGATGAGTATGAGCAAGTGGACATGTCGTCATCACGGAGCATTGTCAGCTACTTCGCTGTTCTGTTGAACATAATTTTTGCAATTTCCGTGCACCTTATTGTTAGGAGAGGGTGGTAATGAGGGAATTGTATTCCTCGCATAATTTTTATATTCTCTCATGCTTATGGTCAGCGATTTTTTATGTACTTTATTATTCGCAATATAGAATATGATCGAAATGTCGTTTAAAATTTATTTCCTGGTAAAAGGTGAATGGAGAAAAACTGATTTTAATATTTTTACTGAATATGTTGAACAATGATTGTGAACAATGATGTTGCCAACGCATCATCATGAATAACAATCAAAAAGGTTGATGAAACATGCATTACATCGCACTCTCCAAAAATGCTGTCGATGCGAATACAGGTGGTTATAACTCATCCCCTGGAGGAAGAAAACGCGGAAGAGCAGGTCTTCAGGTGCCATCACCTTTTACATCACCAGGAAGTCCAGCAAAGACGACATATCCTCCGGACCCCGGCAAATGGTAAGATTAATCGAAAGATAATAAATTCCAGAGGACTGGAATATAACACTGTATATTTGATGAATCTGATAAAATATGCGGAAAAGAGGCCGAAGGAGCAGAAGTAGAGAATGAAAGAGTGAAGAGTTGTAGGTGCAAAAGGAAGGGCAGGATGGAGGGAATGGCGGGAATGGAGGGGCTGGAGGGTAGAGGGAAAAGAGCGAAAGGAGGGAAGTGAACAAGGAAGAAACAATAAAAAACAGAAGAAAAGAAGAGCGTGTATGTGACTGAAGTGGTGTAGATGATACTGTGATTGGTTGTTGAATGGTCCATGTGACCGGTTTGTTAATGTAGTGGGGATATTGGCCGGCTGTGGTGTTTCAAGGCGAAAGCCACCAACTTCTCTAGTATATTGTAGTATTTAGACTGACTGACGGTAAAACTCACGATATCCTTTGAAAAGCCACACTATAGTTCGTTCTAAATGGAGATCGATTGATGTGATTCAGTGGACCTTATGGTGACAGATTCATTCTATCAGTGTTTTCATCCCAGTCACAATAACTTATTCATTCAATCTGCGTACAATTTATTGGCTTTTGTGTTGATTAAAGTCTGTGGTCTATAGACGCCTTCTGTGGATCGCCATGTTGAGAGAATAACTGTTGAGAAAAAGATTGAACCGAAAAACCGGTGATCACTGATTCGCGAGTGACGTATCGTTTGGTGTTGATTGAGTTTTGGGTGGTAGTTCCGTGATTTGGCCAGTTTTTTTTTTTTTTTTATTCCGATATTCATCTGTTTATTGTGTTGACAAGTTTTGTGTACAGTGAAGTGCTCGGAGTACGTGCTGTGACAGTTGTTGAGGTGCTGTGTTGATCTCAATTTAATCGTAGAAACGTGTAATGCGCACTGACAGGTATTTACTCCCTATTGTTTATTTATTTGTCACAACAATGGTTTTAACGCGAGGAGAGCTTTTGAATTTATTGCAACGAGAATGCGCATGTGCTGTTTTTGTATTTATCGGATTGTCACGCGTGCGCAATCTTTGACAGGTGTCAAATATTGTCAAGTGGGATTTTATCTTATTTCGAGTTCTTTGGTGTGGGGGAGGGCGGGAGAATTGTGAACATCTGGGGGGAAAGGGGTTAGAATATTTTACATTAAATCGGATTTTTTGTCGAGATTCAAAATTTTGGAGAGACTTTTGAAAAATATAATAGGATTGTGTTTGTTTTTTGTTTTGTGGATTTTTTCCAAAATTTATGGACACGTGACGAATTTGGGTGAAGAGGGTCAAGTAGAATTGCGAATTATATCATTCAAACACAAAAAATTGACGATTTCACCCCATTTTTGCCTTATCTCATAATTTTTACAGTCTTATCACAATGTTTTGATTTTGATACGCTCCAAATGAAGTCGAAACGGTATATTTCATCCATCGAAACTGATTATTTACAGTTGCATTTTGCTCCATGGTTTTTTAATTTTGTGAAATTCAACTCACGTGTTGAAATATAATTTCTATCTGAACTTTTACGCATCTCCGTATCTTGGGGTACCGTTTATTTACATGCCTCGATGCACAAAAAACTTGGGAAATTCCAGAGTCTATATTATACCAAAAAAACCGTTAGAGTTGGAGTTATTCTAAAATTCCATGTTTCGAGATTTCCTTACATTTCCGTTGCATTCAGTAAGAATTAAATTCCGTAGGCGTGAATATCAGTTCGTTTACATAAGAACACCAAATGCACAGAGAATAACAAAAATCATGACTCGTTGTCATTTTTTCTCAATGAAATTCTTGGCTCTGAGTGACTCAATGCCGGAATGATTTTTATAAACTTTTTCAAACAATCACAAAATGCGTTGACATAAATAATATCCTAGATATTTCCTGAGGGCGTGTTATTACTATTTAATGACTCCCAAAATGTCATGATCGTGCAACAATGATGAAATGCAAAAGCGGTATATTTTTTGGGTTAATTCAATAAACAATTTGTCAAAAAATTTAAAAAAACCGGTAATTTTGACCAAAAGGGAGTAAAACACCCTCAAGACTACAGATGCAAATGAAAAAGAAAATTCTCCCCCGTAGCCTAACACATCAACAATTTCTCTCTGTATAAAAAATAAAGAATGACCAGTTATTTTGATGTAGTGGAGCTGAGAACACGTCGAATACGCACGAAAGAGGATGAAGCCCCTCGTGGAAAGGCGGAAAGGGGGTTCACAGTTCGACGGAGCGGTTAACGACCGGGAAACTAAAAAACCGACGTGGTTTGGTCATCCCGGGTACGTCAACGCTCACGAGGTGCACGTGTATTACCAAAGATGAGTGAAATACCATTAAATATCGACGAAACCACTGATAAAGACTATTACAATGAAGAAGTGGCCAGTCCTATCCGAGGGGACAAAAAAATGGAGCAACTAGTGCCCCAATCATTGATTGATGCTGATGGAGATGACATGGACCTCGTCAATTGTCCAAATCCCTGGCTTCCTGCATACGGCTTCCAGATACAGCACCAGCACTCCAATTTCCAAATAAATCACGAGGATCTACGACCCAATGGTTCGTCTATATTTATTATCTCTTCTCATCGAATCATCCATTCATTTTTCCTCTGGAAACATTCCAACAGCTGATCCTTAAGATTGTCTGACTAATTATCATGAATACTTAGACAAATACAGTCCAGCTAAATTATCAATTCATCAAGAACTTGTAATCAGAAATTAGTCAGGGTTCAGTCTGAATTTTTCATTCGGTAGATCCTTTAAAACGAAAATTATCTGGATATATAATGTGTAACATATACTGATTGAGTTAAAGTAATCCATAAAATGGTACATTAATTCGAATAATTACGGGGCTTGCATTGAAGAGGATAGAAGAACCTGGACATTTATTTACTGTCAGGGCAGGGCATATCTCACATTCCCGGGGTAAAGTGATGATTCACGAGATGAAATTTAAGCGATTCATGTGACTTACATTCTTTTATCTTTCAAGTTCCACTGTATAATTATGCAAGTGAATTATTTGAACAGAATAATTCACTTGTAATAATGTGATAATGCGAATATGCGATTTTTTTTTGTAATGAATTATTTCTGTCGATGGATGTACGTTAAATGAGAAACACTTGATAGAATATATGAACACGCATGTATGCATGTCACGATTAGATATTTCATTTGTTCACACCACACACGCTCTAAATACCCCGATACCAGATGTTCTGTTTGTTCTATAAAAAGAATATTTTTATAGTAGACTGCGGAAAATGGAGTTTGTAATGTTTGCATACAAATTGTTGCACCGCCCAGCGGTTGATTCAACATTAAATCTGGGTTGCTTTCTACGAAATGAGTTGGGCAGAGGGAGAATAGCAAATTAACGCATCTATCTTTGAAACAAAATAGAAATCACCACGGGGAGGCTTGTCTCAAATCAAAAAGGATTCATTGTGTTCATGTGTGTGTGCACCACATATTGAATCACGCGATTTCGTTTCACTAGGCAGAAAACCCAAGAAGGCCTCTAACGGCGCTGCGCATACTTGAGCATAATGCGAATTTTATTTATCAACCTACTGTGAGTCGTGAGACTAGCTAAATTTTCTCATCAACTCTAGATTCTGATTTAAGATACCCTCCCCATTACTGATTCTCCTCTTATCAACTAACGACAGAAAAAACAATACAAATTGGATTACTCCATTCACTCGTGTTGAAATGCCTCTTCACTCTTCCAGATATTGTTGTTAATACATGCAGAAGACCTTGACTATATATTTTCTTGTCAATGTTTTACGATTTTTGAAAAACTATAACCTTTCCGCATTTTATAATTATTTAAGCACTCCTGAAACGCCACGAATGTGCAATAATTTTCAAACATTTTCCTGTGTTTTTTTTTAATGACAAAATAACGACAAAATGCAAAAGATATGTTTTTTCAATCCGATTAACCATTTGTTAGGACTCAAAGAAACCGGTAATTTTAGCGGAATCGGGGCAGAACATCCTTATCTCTTGGTGGAGTCTTATGTCAGTGTTTTGTCTCGATTCCCTGGGGAGGAAATCCGAACAGTAAACTTTAACTAATTCAACTGATTATTTAAAACTGGTATCCATATTACCCCGCCCTTTCCTAGTCGTACAACCACCTGTTGCTACGACTTCACTACCTGTTGCAGTAATCTCAAAGTTTCCACGACCACCAGAGGCTTCTATCAGTCCTTGTGAAACATCAACACATTCCCTTACCTCATGTTCAGTCGTTAAACATATTTCCAATGACTCGAAGTAGTAATAATTACAAGTATGCAGATCATTCCACTCTCATTACTCACAAACCAAATGTTGAATTTTTTTTTACACTTCTCTTGGGTTCCAAGACCTGTTATTATGAGATCCTGATAGTCTCGGGCGCATTATCATTTACATAATATGTACAATTAAAAAATCGCCTTCACATTATTTTCACACATGGAATTTTCCTTCGGAATGCTTCACTCGTAAATTATTTTTGAGCTTCACCTCAGGCGGAATAGATGGAATTAAAATGACTCGATGAGTCACTCGTCCCTGATCATGGGAAAATATGACGTTTAAATGATAATTATGAAATTATCGCATTTATCGGTACGGAAATCGATTGTAGTTTTAGAACCTTCGGAGACTAGTTCTTGTCGAGTCTATATTTAAATTCAAATTTTGTGGTATAATCTGGGTTTAAATGGATAAAAAAATTGTTTTAGATGTGAATTTGGTGCAACAAGTTGATTTTCTCGAGACTATACTCGAGGAAACTTCTGATGATTTGCAGAGTGATTCTGATCGGAGTGGCACGACCTACTGGCTTGGTTCTGACTCCGAGACCGAAAGTGTTATCCACATTAAATCCAATCAGAGAGCACCAGGTAAATAATGAAATCCCTAACTTGTGCAATAAAATAATTCTCCATCAAAAAAAATGGAGAGTGCAGATTTTTTCTTTCTAACCGCCTGAAATGTTCCCAAACGAATTTAAAACATTAAAATTATGCATTCAACCAATTTCCCATGCATTTTGTTTCCTCTTTTGCATTTTCTCACAAAGACTTTCACTGCGCTAAAGTGCGAGTGAAAATGACGCGAGTACTTTCATTGAGTAAATGAAATTGTTGAGAGAAACGCATGTACCCATTATTTTCGAATGAATAATACTTATGAATCGTCTGGGTTTTATCTTGTACAGAGGATCGACCAGATGGAAGTGGTAGCGAGTGCAATTCAGTCGTACCGAAGAAACGTCGACGTAGAAATGGTGCTGGTGACAGTGATTCCTGTATTCACCTGAGCGATTGGGCATCACCACGTTCATCAAGATCATCGGCATCATCACGCTCATCGAAATCATCGCGTTCATCGTCACTCATTCAATTTGAAACACTCGAGAGAAATTGTGCAACTATATCACCGTCTGGCTACAGTTACGATTCCCTCGAGTACTCGAATCGTTCGAATTCACATTTTGAGAATACATCACCAGACAGCCTTGAGGAGGAGGACGACACAGACGATGATGACGATCGAACATTAACAAATGTCAGAAGACCGTCATTTGGCCTGAGTAACCATTCCTCGGAATTTCCAAAGATACGACCCTATCGTAGCTTCGAGAGTCTCGGATCAAATCAAAAGACAAGTGATACATTTCAACACGATATTGGTCATGGCTTTATGTTCGCTAAAACCACAAGCAGTGATCTCAGTGATCGACCCTCTGCTGTCAGGAGGTAAGCATGACATTGAGATTCTTTATTTGTAACATCTAAATAAAGATCTCGAGATGCCAGACAATGCCTTATAATTGGATGTACTCCAAAAATTCCTTTTCTAATACAGTAGCAGACTCGTAAAGTGATGTAAATCGAACATTCCATTTATTTATCCTTCATTTTCGATTTGTCTTGCTAAAACCAATTGTTTCTCATATCAATTCAGCAACGACGTAGTAAATTCAAGTTAAAATCTAAAGGAACTAGTCAATTTATTGCCCATAATCTTTCGGCACTAACATTTACACAGATTTAAAACCAATTTCTCACTTTTTGTTCTAGTAATCGCTGGTATGGAAAATACGAGGATAATTACGACTACGATGAGGACTCAGAGGAGTTAGAAGATGATGACGACAATAATCATGTCTGTCACTACTCAAACGCTTTTAACGAGCCTCGAGGCCTTTTATCTTTCTCGGAGACAGTCAACCACGGATACTCGACATCCCTAGATTTTAGAAATACTATTGATCTGCGAGAAATTGGTCTTGAACCCAAGCATGAAACAATACTGGACCTGGCACGCTCGCAGATAGGTTCTTCCACGGGTCTATTTCACCCAAAACTAAATATAACTGGTAACATGGCGTCAGGAATCGCATCCGGCCAACATGATCAACATCAACGAGGGTGGAGCAACTCACAAACGTACGATTTTAATTTTAGAATGACTAACAAGTCCCGTAGTGTGCCCGGTCTCACCAGTCTTGCCAGTGGCATCGACGATTCAGCTTCACTATTGTCACGTTATCGTAATTACGATAGTCATTACAATTACAGCTCATCGAATTTATCATTTGACAATTACACACGAGTTGCAAGTGTCCCCGTGAATCTCAATCTGTGTGGTGCTAGTAATGATATTCAATGTGATGGAACTACTCTAAACAACCACGAAATGGCCGACGATACGATGAGTGTTAACGAGATCACAGCTAACGCAGAGGCGAATTCCAGGGAATTGCCCAAACGAACGTCTTCCGTCAGGACGCAAAAGCGATTAGATAATCAGGAGCTGCAGGATTTACAAGTTGATGACAGCGTCAAGGAAAATGTTATACCCGTTAACACTCAGTGCGATCTTCACGAGAACGATGTAACAATGGAGGAAAATTCATCATTAAACGAGCCAGTGTGTAATAGCGATGCAAATACCAGAGTATCAACAGTAAAAACCCAAGATCATGGCAATCATGTTTTGGAAATGGCAATGGCAATGGAGAACGACATAGATTCAGTGGTTGATGAGGCTATCAAAGAATTAAAACGTCAGGTTGAGGTGGCAACGAGCTCTGAGAAGATGACATATGTTAAAGATAAAAATGGACAGCGTAAGATAAAAAATAATGCGAGTTATGAATTGGCACAGCAATGGCAAGTGGATGAGGAGAACTTGCACAGCCGAATGACAAGTTGCATGGAACATGTCAATGAGTCATCTCCATCGAATTCACCAACTAGACGACGCGTAGGTAATAACGCCAGTTACGAATTGGCGCAACAATCAGATTACATAAAAGCATTACAATCAGCGTCTAGGATGCCCTTTCAACGAATGGATGCGTGCGATGAGTTGCCGGAGTTCTCATCCGTTAATTCCAGTCAATCACCGCGTAATATTGTCAGCGACATTTCAGACCGGTCTGAAATTTCACCGATAAATCACACACGAATAAATTCCCCGAGAGAAGATGTGCTACATGAGCAGCGAATGCAAAACGACAGCATCATAGATCAGATAAAAAAAAACTCGGAATTATTTTCAATCTATGGAGAAGGTGCTAGTGCCAGTGGTGTTAATATAGATGATGAAGTAGATTTGCCCTGCTTGGAAACCAAACCCATAGATGGTGATATAAATGTCAATAATTATGTACGACGAATAATAGATCAGGATAAATGCCCAATGAGTATCGATGGTGAGGAGAAAAATGATGATTATGTACCGGAGAGAGTGACACTGTCATTTTTAAGTGACTTCTATCCGGAGCAGAGTAATGAGGCTTTGTCAAAAATAAAGGGTGACTGTAAAAATAGTATATTTAGAGATGAAGTAATGGTGAATGGTGATGACGATGGTGATGATAATGCTGGTGCTGGTGCTGTCGAAGTTATCCCCGATGGAGAACGTTTGTGGAGGGTAGTGGTAGAGCAACAGAGCAAGGCATTCAGTGCGGATGGGTGGGGTAGAAAGGAAGAGGTGGATAACATGGAGAAGGAGGAGGAAGAGGCAGTGGTAGTGGTAAACCAACGTCTGGCAGTAGATGATACGAGTACGAGTACGAGTCAAAGCAGTGTATACACTGGTACGGTACCCATAACCAGTGGTGTATCAGTTTCAACGAGTGAAAATACTGACACTCAATCACCGGTAGTTGAGACCCATGAGCAATCACATCACATCAATCAGATCAATATTGACAATCAATCGTCATCGGTGAGAGACAGTACGGATAAGTGCAGTGAAATGTCGGCAATGGCTGCTAAAAGACTGGCAATGGGACCGATGCAATCATCCAGTCCCAGAAATAGTCAATTATTGTCGTCAAATAATGAGACTGTAGTAGCGCCCGTTGTTGAGAGGAAAAAATCGGGATTGGGTGGTTTCCTTCAGCGATTCTCAAAATTGAGATTCAGTGGTCGTTCTAAAGTGCCAAGATCGGAAGTTAAGAGGAGTGATACCGATGTCAAAGGTAAAATACAGCAGAATGATGATACACAGTCTATTGGTATAAAGCGGAAAAAAGAGCCTGATTATATCATCATACCTTTGCATCCACCGGAAGAAGAGAGGAAGAGTCTGGAGGATGAGAAGGAGAATTCACAGCGTAAACGAAGCGATCTTGAACGAAGCGCTTCATGTGCTGGGTAAGTTGATCACAATTTAATTGCTGTTTACTTTATTTTCTTGAGAGTTGATAAAAGCCAATAATGTGTCATAGACATTGAGGCGAACGAACGGAAATATAATTATGAATAGGCTAATGTTGTTAGGCATCGAGGCTTCGATTTTTCCCCTTTAATCCTTTTATTTACGCATTATTCTATATTGGATGTATTTGTGCTTGACGTGATTTTCAACGTCCTGGGATGTTGGTACCTACGTTTAATCGTGGTTAAAGGGGTCAATGTAATCGACGGCTTTCGTAACGGCTTCAAATTCAAACCGGGCAAAGAGAGTTCAATGGGCAATACAAGAGTGGATAAGAGTGCCGACGGTTTTACGCCGCCTACACAGCCATCGTAACCGGTGACCGCTCGTTAGTCAATCGTTCATTCCGTTTTAATCTCATATCCTCCCCTCGCCTTTAAATTTTATCCTATAACACATTCCAGTTACTGAGGGATCAATTCACCATAATCAACGTCGATACACTATTTTACAAGTCTCAATGTTTCATTATTGTTTAATCCGTGGGGGAAATTTTCCAATTAGTCTTAGATAATTTTTTCTAAGGCCATGTCTTTTTTTTAGAATAAAATATATTTAGTTTGAAATATGTTTAGCGCTAAAAATGCATTTTGTGAGAATTTTTTTGGAATAGTTTTACTTGTACATCATCATTATGATTATTAGATGGTGGAATTTTTTTCCAGAAATTTATGGAGCATTTGGAAATTTGAAAATTTTGGAAAATTTGGATATCTTCCCGCGAAAAATCGTGAGTTCTGAGTAACGAACCTCTCTATCAGTCCAAGAAATATTAAAATTAATTGAAAGATGAAAATCAATTTTTTTTCCAAAAATATTTTTGAAAAATTTGGAAAAACTATTTCGATTACAATTTTTTTATTTTTCCCGGGTAAACTCATGAGTTCTGAGTTCTGAGCAAGGCTTTGGAATATCTGTTATTCTTTTAGTGTAGATTATTGAGTCATCGATTGGAACGGTAAATCAAGACGAAATGTGATCGCCTGCAGGTACAATTGCCAAGTATGACCTTCCAGTACTGACAATTCCACATTATTCGATATCACGTGATGAGGGCTCATATGATTAATGGGAATTAACAGAATAACATGAAATTAAATGAATATATTTTAAAGTAGATAAGTGCGTGTACTAGTGTCATGAGGTACCATTCAAATCCACTTGAGATCACTCGAATTAACAACTAGTGTGTTAAGAGTTTAACTCCAGGGACTGGAGATTGAAAGTGCGATTGGCTTCTTGAAATAAGACTATCGTATAAGAGCCTCAAGTATATTCTCGAGATTATTATCCCCTCAGTCTCTGGTAGTTCTCTCATCCACTAAACGCTCCTCATTGCGTGGTTCCTTTTATCGTTTACAATATTTACACAGAGTGTTATCAACGAGAAGACGAAATTCCGGGTGTATAATCACGTGGGGAATTCCGTCAATATCCAAGTTAATACCGATAGGCTTATAATTTCTTTCCCATGTCGCAGGAAAAATAACTGGAAATAACGACAAGGGATTTATATTTATTTTATAATCAAAAAGGAATTTTCTATTTATCTTACAATTAATTCTATTAAAAATTAAAAATCAGGAAAAATTCATGCCATTATTTTCCTCAATTCAAATTTCACGTGGAGAACAGATTTTTTTTATTTTACAAGATGAATGAGAAATTTTGTGAAATATTTGATCTTGAATTGATTAAAATCTGTATCGTTGAGTTTTCAAATATTGCTGGAAATTTAGAAAACGTCTGAAAGCTTCATGAAAAAATTCCGGAAGTATTACCATCTAATAATCATAATGATGATGATGAAAAAATAACGCTTTCAGTGGCACCAGGAGGCCGCCAGTGTCCATTAGTAAGCCACTTCCACCCCAATCGCCACCCCGGGGTGTGCACTGGAAAATAAAATAATTTTCCCCAATTAAATTCACCAATTCCAAACAATTCTACTCTCAGACAAAAATTGAAATGATGTTTTTCGGCTTTTATTCATCTAGAAAAAAGTATTAGTTTTTTAAATATCCAATGAAAAACGAGTTACATCGAGCTAGCAGAAAAATAATTATTCCGGAAGCGCAGTTTTTGCAATATTTATACTTTGTCATTATCATTACTATTATTATTCTTATTATTATCAGATAAATTGAGAAAAAAATGAGACCAATTGCTGAGACCCCAGTGATTCAAGTAAAATATTGAATTCCTGAAAAAATTCCAGGAACTCATTGAATGAATTATTCTACATGATTATAATTTGAAAATTGGAATAAAATGGTTTTTATACAATAATAAAGTTGAAATAACGAAAAAATAATGGTTGATAATTGCAGTGGTACCGGGAGGCCGCCAGTGTGCATTAGTAAGCCACCTCTACCCCCATTGGCATGCCAGGGTGGACGCGCTTGTGCGTCGAGTCCAAGGGCGACGTCGGGCGTCGTCAATGCGCGCCGGCGCGCCACAACCGACCTGGGTAGCCCAGCTGCCATCGAGATGGCGAAAGCTCGAGCGATGCAACACCAGCAGCACTACCATCATCACCAACTTCATCAGGTGGTGCATGGTCATCAGGAGGAGCGCCCCGTTGGCCTCCTCGAGACCGACCTGGACGACGATTCAGTCGATGTACAAGTGAAGAGCAACGATCACCACGACGAGGAGAGCACCACCTTGTCTGGTGGACGTGGCAGTGCCGCACCCGGTAAGAAGACCCGCAGTTTACTCAATTTAAATCATACCTGTCGTCAGGGACGTGACAACATCACGGAAAATATAAACGCCCTACGGGTACCCCAGTCACCCGGTACCGGTTGTCGAAGTACCAGCGATCACGTCGATCACGCATCTCCAGCTATTAATCATCGACCCCACAAATCCATGGAGTTCCTCCTGGATAAGGAGAATCTTCATTTCATCAAGGTGAGTTTTACATTTACTCATTTACTCATTACTCTCATTACTCTCATTACTCTCATTACTCATTTATTCATTTATTTTTCGAATTTCTCATCATTGGTGATGGCTTTGATGAATATAGGACAGTAGTTGATAGTTATATTATTGAGACTGGCTGGAGGAAGCTCATTATTAAATCTAACCCAGGGACAATCGGAGGTGATTAAAGGGAAGGGAGAGAAAATTGGAAAAGAAGTGGAAGAGTATGATCAGAATATGACGATTGTCATCCCTGTCATTGGGGACGGATTTTTTACTAAAGTCTAGTTGTTGAGAGCACGCGCACATCTCTTAATACAAATACACACATATGACAGTAGAATTTCGCGAGTGTGAGGACCAATCCATAATGGGCAGTGATGAGTTTTTCATGGTAAATGAATTGAAGCGGACTGAAGGTACAGGTGGAGATATGACAGGGGGAAATGACTCGGAAATTGGGTAAAAGTCTTTTTAACGAGGCGCCAATCGTTCTAGTATTAATTGACAGAGGTACGGTTGGGGGAGGTGAGAATACTTCAAGGACAAATTAGTAGACTGGCTTTATGATTTCAACGAATCAATACGTTATTTTCGGGATGAGTGTTAACTCAGTTATAAGGTTGAGTAATTGGAGGGGGTGATAATAGTTTATTACTTGAGTTGTCACTAGACCTCGTAATTTTAATTGATGAATAAAAGGGGATGGCAGTGAGTTATGCGGGCGCATGACATGCATGTCAATCACTTCCGTCGGATGCCACTTCCGTCATTGGTCACCGACACCTTGACCTCGAAATTCAAAGATATCGGTTTATCGTACGTCATTAAATGCCAAATGAATTCTCATTAGCGTTTGGATAATTGATAGTGAATTCAAGGGGAAAATATTAAAGATGTACTCGCACTCCACGAGTGAAATACTCTGAGTCGCTGTCGTGTCGAGATCAATAGTTTGAACATAGACTGGAGTGCAGATAGGACAGAAGATTGAGAGTTCTCTTGTGTCTGTAATCATTACCATTTTCTCAATTCCTCTTCCAAAATCGTTCTCGGAGTGTCCCAGTTAATTCTATCTCCCCCTGACACCATCAATTTTTTAATCAATAGCAATTGATTTTTTTGGAATATTCCATTCACCAGTGAAAAAATCCCCCACGGATTTTTTCGCTCGATTTTCGGTATTCTATTTTCCGAATTTTTTATTGCAAAATTGATAGTTTGGGTAATGAAATTATAAGCGTGCTTTCACTATAAGAGGATTGATTCCAAAAACGTAATTTATTTTCTCAATGAAAATCAAAAATTGGATTGAATATGCCTCAAACTAATTTGCCACGTGACACTTTTATTGGACTCTACGGAGTCACAAATTACACTATTATTTTATAATCTCTTGTTGACCTTGAATGTGGCTATGCCATCTTTAAAAAGTGCTTTATTTTGCAAATGGTAGCCCAGGCAACGGCTACAGTGCCACCTGGATTTATACCCTGGCCCTTTTTTACCTGGTCTATAGCAATTCATAAATGTATAACACTGAGTATCGAAAGTCCACTGTGAATTCCAAAAGTCAAGCCAATTTTTACCACCCCTTTGCACTCATTAACTTTGTTTTTAACCAGAACATCGATATACATGACATTACCGCAGACGCATGCACACCGCTGATTTTTACGTCAAAAAAAAAATTGACAGCGACTCAATTGCGCTCAGCGAAATGACATCTTCCAGTAATTTTGAACTTTTCGGCACGTTTCATCCAGAAAATAATGAAAACCCGTGGGCCTCGAGATCTTTGACCCCGAGTTCAAATACTTGTTTCGAGTTTAGTTGTGTGAAAGAATAATTCAGTGAATGTGGTGAATTGTGGTGGGGTATTTATGAGGAAACAAGTGGCAATTAGGCTGCATGGGAAACTTAAACCTTCATCGCGTTATTCATTCAATGTTCATGATTAATGCTGTTCTGTTTTATTGAGGCTTATTAATAACCCGAGACAGTGGACTCTATTATACCAGGGAGATAACGCATGTACCTCATGCTACCAGATGAGCACTCCCCTACGTCACGGTGATAAAAACCCTTTTTGTAGAAATTATTTATTAATATTGGTATATATGTGGGATAATTGGGTAACGAAGAAACTCATTCAGCTCATTCGGAGGGAAGTCACTTTCACCCCCCAAAAATCATAGATCAGCTCCTGGGGCCGATAGAAAAGACTTTTATTATTATTTTTTTAGTCTTATGACTACTCTACAATTATCTATGAGGTAATAATTAATAAGATAATATAGAAATAAATAATAAATAAAATCATCCGCATAGATCCACCCCCGGGGACAATGATAATTTTTAAAATAAAATTCTAATATCATCTGCCACGTGAAAATATTCGGAATTAAAACCGGGAATATACGAAAATAATCAGGGAGTCATAGTATCTTCTGCGTCTCTTCTCACTGCACTTTATTGTTATACTGATATCGTGGATCTGAACCGATCGGACTATTTTCCTGTCAGTCTTTCTCTTTGTGAACCGCAAACAAACTCTGCCATGCCTGTATCATCTGACCGCACAAAAGCCTCAAATATAAATATTCAAAACGGGGAAAAAGTGAAATGCCTTTTGAAGCCAAAGGACATAAAGAATATTGTAGACAGACAAGCAGGAGAATTTGTCGAGACTCTTGGGAAATAAATGAGTGGCTGACCTTTTTTTTTTTTCGCTGTCTGTACCACGACATTTGCCTCTCAGGAAATCTCAAGATGCACTCCTTTACAGGCATGAATGAGAATTAGGTAGCTTATTGTATTCTTCATTGTCAGTGAGATTTTCCGCACTCTATCAATTCCTAATTCTCATTTTGTTATCGCCCCTCATTTTTATTTGGAAAAATAGACTAGAAACCATTGGGTATTAATTTCAGTAGGCCAGTAAGAAATTGTCCATCCAACTGACAACATTTAAAAATCGATCTAACCCGACTTGGCATCTTTTTTTTTACCCCACATTGTTCAAAGCTCCCCGTATCCATCTGCTATGGTTTTTTCCACTTTGTTCCCTTTGCACACTCACCGGAAACAATTCTAAAAGTGGGCATCTTGCCAGTCCCTCTCATCAACTTTCTTCCCTCCCTCTCTCTGCAAATGCACAATTGCACTAAACCTGGCTATGGGAGAATTTTTAAAAACAAATAGACAACTCTCAACAGCGATTGCCATTTCGAACCAGCTCTTCACATTATTCTGAATAATTAATCACTGCAATCGCCACAGAAATTATTAAACAAATTCTTTCACTCATCAACTTATGCGGTGATAAATATTCATCGATCTCGCAAGACGTGCCATTTTTTTGGAACGCCACAAAATTTTTTTCATTGCAAACATACATTATTACATTTTACAGAATCCATAATTATTATTATTAATAATTAATTAGATGAATTATCTATTGATATGTATGATATGTAATAGTTATCGTAATTACACTATTACATTTTACAGAATCCATAATAATTATTATTAATAATTAATTAGATGAATTATCTATTGATATGTATGATATGTAATAGTTATCGTAATAATTGCAGTAATTTCGCCTCTTAAACAATATCATTAATATTTCACCTCAAGTGGAATTGAATATTCGAGTACTTGCAGGAAATCGTTCCACCTTTAATTTCTGGAGACAGCCTAAATATTTTCTTTTCAGAAATGAAATTCCAAAATTTTATCACCCAGCAGCTAGAGTTGTGTTTTATTGATCGACACGTGGATACTATCTATGTCTCTGCAACCTTGCGGCCTCGACTTTTAAACTTCCAGTACCTCATTCCAATATATGCACACAACACTCGGTCTAGTATTATACATCATGTTCACAGATGTGTTTCATTATAGTCCGGGGCAAGATATCGTTCGTATTGACGATCATCTCCCCAGAACTGCCTTAGAAATAAAATAGAATTCATTTATTTGATGTCACAAAGTCGAAGACAATTAAGAACGTCCTGCCCTAATTTTCCTGGTTTTTTAATAATTATTCATAATTATATTGACCTAAAAAATATGCCATTTAGAAATTTTATTATTATCCCATGACTCACAGTTTCACAAGCAATAATTTTCCTGTGTTTTTAAAATAATTTTATTAGTCATTGAAAAACTTAGAGAAGACGCAGGAAAATTATTGCACGATCACGACATTTTTACCAAAATTCCTCATCTGGAATTTGATGGGCCCTGGTCAATTTATTTGACAGAATTATTTTTTGGTTCCGTGTAGAAAATAGAACTAGGTGCTATTCAATGTTCTCTTCTCTCAAGGTCCCTCGAATTTCTTGAAGACACCAGCTTTAGATTCACGTTATTTACCCGGAAGTGAAACCTTTTGAGATGACATTTTCCGTGACTCCTACGCTGACAAGTTGCGCAGTATTGCGTACTTTTCCGATGGTGGGATTGAGGCAATTCACCTCTCATTTCAGACGACTATTAATCCTTTGGCTGCCCTATGGCAGTATTGACCCGTTACCTCCACAGGTCTCGTTGTTAAATCTTTCCAACTCCACACAACAGCAACGACACTCTTGCTAAATCACTCTTTCAATTGCACCTTGAAAAACTCGGTATTTTCATCGCTGAGAAGTTTACAGAAAATCCATTCGCATTTTTCTGATCAAGAACTCAATTAATTTCTTAGATATCACCCAATAATTAAAAAATTGCCGTTTATTTCTCTCGAATATTTTACTTTTATTTTATTTTTTAAAGAAAATCCAAGCAATTATGTTATCCAAATTTTTAATTTCTTCCTTTTCTCTTTTGAAACATCAGCGTAAATAAATTCAATCACTGGAAATTGATTGTCCCAAAATTAAAGTACTGGAAATTTCTCGGGAATGGAAACATTTCCATTTTCTCAGAGAAACTTCGGAGAAACCATTGGTAGAATTAACATGAAAAATATTCCAAATATATTCTAAACTTTCGAAAAAAATCACAAAACAGTTAAGAAGACCCATAAATAATTACTATTTAAATTTCGACTGACAGGGCGTTGAAGATCGTTAAGTCAAATTATACCCGAAAATGGTAAAATTCACTGGGAAATTCATGGGATAAATAAAAAAAAGTCAACATTTATCAATTTTTCGTGCTCAAGCACTCGAGTGGGCGAGTCTTGTCGTAAAGCCGGTGCCCACGATGCAGCCACAATATAATAACTGCATGCTATCACGCGAATGAAAATAGTAAAGAGAAAAATTATCCTTCTCATTCGCTCCGATCATGGCCTCTCTTGCGAAATAAATGTGCGCTTATCCGCAAAACGCCAACAGTTCGATGCTATTTACAGGCACGAGAGTGATAAATCCGTATTGCATAGGAGTGTATTATCTCTGACAAATTCGCATAGACTGTTAGAAAATTACTTCTGAAATATCAGGTAAAAGAAACTCATTCGTTCTGAACCGCTATTTCCATACTATTTATTTACCGTTTTTTCTTCCCGATTTCTTTGAATATTCAGTGGAAATTGTCGTTTCCAGGTCCAAAAAATAACAAAAATTCGGTAAAATTGGGAAAATTGAGGTAATTTTTCCGTCAACTCTCAACTCTCAGGCAATTGGAAATTAAATCGAATTTACTGTCCCATTTCCATGATGAGATTCAAAGCCCAGGAAGTACTCGCAATATCGTTGATCGTCCACCATAAAAATCCGGGATTTTATTGAATTTTCAAGAACACCCCATCAATTTTTCATTTATTTAATTTATTAATTAAATTGCAATTGAGACAAAAAAAAATTCTAATAATTTTCATTTTTTCTAGTAAACTAAAAAAATATTTAACCAGAATTGAGTGAGTAATTGTCCCTTCGGTCATTGTAAAACTGCCCAATTCCATCCATCTCTTTTTCTCTTTTTCTTCACTTGCGTCTCTCATCTCCATTGCATCCGCGTCGATAAATCTTCGCTTATACCGTTTTATCCTAACGGTGGATTTCGCATTTATCCCATTATTTGCTGTTTATTGTTGAGAATAGACTAAAAATATTTCGGCATTCGGGCTTAATGGCAAGAACCCGACAAATTCTCCATTATTCCCCGAGACTTGTCGATTAATTACCAGAGGTGAGAGAAATTTTATTGTGTGTTAAATATGATCTTGACAATTTTCTACGCATGCACTCGCTGGGTAACTCTAAACGCACCTCTAGAACTAGAAAATCCTCAAGAATGCACAGCAAATCCGCAACCCATACGAAGTTCTTCGAATTCTCGAATCTCCCGCTACATATTTACACATTATATACTATTACACAATTAGAAAATTCCTCTTTCAACGTATCTAAAACCACTCCAAGCTCTTACCAACAATTAATTTACTATTAATATCCCCAATAATATCTTCATTCAATAGTAAATAGTATTTCTAATAAATAGCAATTCTATTTATTCTCTCATCATGATATCTAATAAAATCTGAAACTATAATTTATATATTATTTATATACTATATTTTTATATAAAATCTACGTCAGTAGATCCTACGCTTCATTCGACTAGATAATGCTAGATGCATAGAGTTCCTATTTTCTTGTGCCACGTCATCATCAATTTTCTCAGGACTAAAGGTCTTTGAACTCGAGATGGTTGCACAGTACCCCATGCACAACAACAACCCACCAATTTACGTCAATCGACACGAGAACAGATGAGAAAATCTACTCAAACGTCTGGTCTGTCTCTTCTGCTTATGGATGCAATTAAAATTATCCTCATACTCAATATATCGGTCTGCCTACAATAGCTCTTGCCCTTATTCTCAACTCCTTTCAAGACTCCATTGAAATCCCGATGAAAGGCTCACCAGAAGGGGGATTTTATTTTTATCAAAAAGATTTTTTATCAGAATGATGAATTTTGATTAAGATTTCTTCTAGGGTAATTGGGGAGAATCTCCACTGGAAAATAAACGACGAAAACGAGGAATTCATTGACATTTGATTATTAATTGCACAAGTCCTTGAACGCATTATTCTGGAATAATTACTTCAACGCGTTTTTCACCCCAGGGGGTGCACTTTATTCCTCTCTTTAATGAAATCACTCTTTGATCACTCCATTTACATTCTCAATAAAACTTGACATCTTAATTCAGTTCGTAAAGTCGCCTGTCATTCAATTATTCATGCATCTCGCGTGGTAAATTTGCAGAATTAAAAAATCAGGGAATGAGAAAAAATGATTGAACAACTGATGGAAATAATGAGTTGATTAATTTTATTTCGGGACGATTGACGTTTTAGGATTGTATTTATAACGTGTTAATCTCATTTGGAATTTGAAATATATTTTATCTTCTCTATTTCATGAACTACTTTTGATGTCATCCCTATTCCTCTTCAAATGTTGACAGTGCACAGGGCTAAACACGAGTAAACGATAAAAATGGATGACATCAGAGCTTATCGTCATTTACTAATCAAAGCTATATCCATTGTACTCTCGGTGTAATTTTTTCTGTAATTATCTTGACTTGCTGTATCTTTGACAACAGCTCGTCACAGAATTTGTGAGAAGATACGACAGATATTTTCGATATTTATCCCTGTTCGTGCAGTTGAGTCTCAGTGAATGTGAAAATGTGGTTAAATGCACCAGTGAGATGAGCCGTAAAAACAAATAATAAATCGACAAAAGTAATTAAATAAAATGGAACAATTAAATATTCCGCTGTCATTCTTCGGAGTATCAGCAGTGCCTACGATTGAGGAAGAAGGCGAATATGTCGATCACTTGAAGGTTAATTGATAAAGATAAGAAATTAGTGAATACAAAATAAACATCTCATTAATTATTATTGTTCACTCTCATATTTGATGTAAAATTGGATAGAGAATTTGACAGTGAATACTACAAAGAGATGCGATAAAACTTTAGGAAAATAACAATTCACGTAATCATGAATGGAAATTAAGAGAAAAGGGTGAATTGGACAGAGTTTATAAATTTTCAAGCTTTACCCCATTTTCGGGGTAATTCTGTTGAAATTTTATGCCCCGCGAGGTCAGAGGAAAGTCCAAACTTAGAAGGGTTTATATATATCCACATTGCTGACCATCTCTCTGCTCTCAAAATTTTGCACCAGCTACTATGCAACAGCATATCTGAAACATGGTTACGGTGATGGTCCGCTATGTCATGTAAATACACTCAGTCTAAATTCGTCGAAACGACCAAATCAACTTTCATCTCTCCTCCTCGGTGCTCCAGATACCAAAACACTCCTTGCCACCAATTTGAAATACTGTAATTGCTCTAGGATAGAGCAATCACTGAATTAATCATCCCCTGAAATAAATTGACTTTTCAAATTCTCCGAATTAATACTGTCCATTTGGTGGTGATTTATCTGATGATATTCCTGGCCACTTTTTCTTCATGTTTGTGAAAACTTGAACTCTTGACTCGGAGGTATGAAAGTCGATGGAATCGATCATTTGTTTATTTTTCCACAGCCACCAGAGAATGAGTTACAAAAAGTTGGAGAACGTGTGCCAAGTGAGCACGAGCTGAGAGTACAAAGATCACTTCAACGCCTCAATGTACCAGACTGGTATAAAAATTCACCAGCAGCTCGTGATGGTTTCCGGTTGAAAAGACACTCGGATGCATCGCAACACGGTGGTTGGCGTTCACTAGGTTCCAAAACTACATCGCTATCGTCCCTGTCATCGTCTTCCAATCGCCAACCAACTACCGGTACCTCTGGTAATACAACTTTTTATTTACTTTAATATTTACTCCGTGGAGATCAATTCCACCGTTTCTGTCACATTTCACAAGATTTTTGTGGAGATTAATTCTCGCACTCTGCCAAAATCTGTCATGCTTTGACAATGTATGCTTTGAATTCGAAATACATCAGTCATCATTTAACAAAATCCCACAAAATTTGCCAAATAATTCGAAATATGATAAATTGTGACAGTCATCAGATCAAGACATTATTTCACGTGTTATTTTGTGATTGTGTTGTCAAATTTTGAAGCGAATTTGGGGTAGATATATTACAGTCTGTCAGTTTAAATTGAAATTTGATTAAATCGATCTAGACGACTCCCTCGAGGGTAATTCCTCTTGGAAATCGTTGTGTCACTTACGGATGTCCAAAATCCTTTTAACAAAAATTCATATTTTTTTATTTCTCTGGAAAATTATCAAAGGGATTTAAATATCCTTAATGCGGCAGTTGGAGCTCTCGAGTAATTTCGAGTTGAAGATGTTTTCTCTTAATAAAATGGCAATTAAACGATTTAGGGGCACTTTTGAGTCCCAGCCCAACACCTCCGGTCTTCTCAAGATGGAGTACGAGTCTGCTGAACAGTGCTGGCAGTTCACCAGCAAATTCTGCACGCTCGTCTTTCAATCATCGTCAGCCTTATCTCGGTTGGCGTTCACAAGAACGTCTCGCCAATCCACGAACACCAGCTGAACGTCTTGCTCAGGGTATACTTCCTCAACTGCAAAATACTAAAAAGGTGAGTGCAAAGATTTTCAGTCGTGTATTAAAAAAAAAATCTCACATAACTCCAATTAGACGTGACAAAAATATGTAATTGGGTCATGCTAAAGGCCAAGGGCATAATTTATCTGCATTGGCAAACGGTTAATCTCAACGTCATGGGGAGTCACATGACATGACTGAATTTATTGGAAATCGATTAAACATTACCGCGAAAAGTGAATATTTTTAAATTGCCAGACAAGAGAAAATAGCTCTCTTCGCAGCTGTCACTTCTTTTTTCCGCCTCCTTCATTCAACTCCTTTCTTCTTTTAATAATTCGCCAACGTGCACGTGTGCGAAACGTTTTCAGGATAAAATTAGATGCTAAGCGAGATTACATTCCTTGAGATTAGTTGGTATTTTGCCAATCGCCACTCGACGCACATTTTCGGCAGTTTCGTCGGAGAATTGTTTAAACTACCTTTGAAAAAAAATAAAACATACCAGAGAAACCGTTGTACCTAAATGAGTTTTAAAAAATATAAAAATCATGGAATTCTCCATTGAGCGAAGACATTTCATTCCATTAACGACTAATTACAAGCCATTAACAAATTCAATTTCTATACTACCCCAAGGCTATATTATACTGCCAAATTTAGGCTACTAAATTTATCCTTTAAAGACATCTGAGGTTGATCGAATAATATAGCCCTGGGTTAGTATAGAAATAAATGATTCCTTCCTCTTGTGGTCTTCTGCCTAAATATAATTTGACCTCCAGTGTTCTTGTAAATTTCAACAGCGATGAAAAAATGTTTCCCGATCAGAGTCAGGATAACAGGAGAATGGACTAGAAATTTAAAATGAATTAAAATTTAATGAAAATGAACTAAAATTTAAAATTGAAAATTGAAAAAGACAAATTTGATTTATCCCGAATTATTGTAATGCAAATGATAAATATTTATAGACAATAAAATAAATGCCAAAGGCGGATCAAATGATAATCAAATGAATGTCACTGGTTGAATGCCAACAGCAGCAGCAACAAACAAATCAGCAGATTGAGGTGAGGAATTCGATAAAAGAAGTGACATCGGCAATCGTGCACTATGTGCAAAGCGGCCAGGAGGTCGTTGCAAGTGGTGTTGGTGATGGTAGTGGTGGTCGGCTGTCACCTCGACCTCGACCCGACGATCGAGACGACAGAGGTGGAGCGAGATCCACAAGTCCCAGAGGTGAGCATTAATTGCCCCCTTATCCACCCCATCGAGACATCCCCCAAATAAAAATCACTGTAAAAAAATAAAACAAAACCAACTGCGACAGCAACAGCAACGGCAAAAGTCTTCCCTCCGACGAAATCATTATATTGAATAAATGATAGTGATAACAAAACGATTTTTAAGTATCTAGAAAAAATATTCCCACCACAATCAACCAACCACACCATCGCCAACCACTATTATACTCCACAATAAAGGTAATTTTGTTTTATTTTTTTTTTTTTGTTCGTTTCACTCATGCCTATCTCTCTCTCTCTATCTCTTTCTCTTTTCCTATTCTATATTTCTCTTCTCCAGTGTTTCTCCTCACCCACTTTTCCTGTTGTAATTATTAAACTGAGCACCAAAAGTTTTCTCGTTTGATCCTTTTACGTTGGCGCTTTATACTTTTGTTCGTTAACAATCACCTTGATTTCAGAGCAACACAAACCCTGAATTAAGTATGTATTCGGGGGGCCTGCGGTAATAACTAACAAAAACTAAATAATAACAATATATTGATGCTGCAACGTGAATTGTTCCTTATTGCAAGTGAAAAATATATATTTCATCAGTTAATTGAAGCTCAGGGTAATGGAAATTGAAATGTTAAAATTTCCTGTTATCGTGATTTCAAATTTCTGAATAATGAAATTTGATGTGATTTTTCGGTCTGATGTAATTAATTTTTTTATGATGAAGGGAGCGTAAAGCTGTGTTGGATGGAGAGTTCATTTGTTGGCTCACGACGAGTTGATTCCCCGGAAACACCTATGAGCTTGGCAACCGACACCGAATGCTGTGCAGGATGTAATGCAGTGGGAACTGAATCGTGCAGCTGCATGGACTCAGCAACATCCGGGTTATATCTGGATTTGACACCGACTAGAGACGAACCTAGACACCATAAAGGGGATCACGATCAGCAAACGAGAAGTACAACGTGTCTGTGTCCATCTCCATCACCATCAACTTGTCATTATCACCAACAAAAGCAACATCGACACACTCAACAACGACACAACCGTGGTGAGTTATTACTCGCCTAGCGGATCCATCTTTCTAATTACCATTTGTTCTCTCTCCCCCAAATATTCCTACACTTGATTATTTTTCTCTTTCATTTTTTTTTTGTTTCATTTTTTTTTTGTTTGTTTTTCCTCTGGTTATTTTAAGATTAAGAGAAGAAATGAAGTTGTGAAAATTCAGAGAGAGTCACGAGAGAAAAATGAATCCTTTACCAATGTACATCTCGGAGAGACAATGAGTCGATTAAGTATTGGGCTGGAAATATAATTCTACCGTGTAATATTGCACACTTGTATAGGCAAAGTAATTGTTAAACCTTTTGTACATAAAAATAATGCTTAGTTTTCAATCATCTTACTTATTTGATTGAAAAAAAGATGAAAAATTATTGTAATCAACGACTGCCCGGTGTTGATGTGCAAGCGTTGAGTAAATGTTTAATTGTTATAGCGGATTACGTGTGAGGGACAATAGCTCAATCACAAGTCAAAGATCAAGATTGTGCGAGTTGATTTTTTTTTTCGCAAGTGATGCTAATACCTGTCAATCCACACTGAATTTTTCCATTTTTTGCATTGAATAGAGTACTTCCAGATTGTCCATTGAAATGAATGATTTATTAACGTGAATCAGAAACGATGTCTTCATTGTTGAATGAAATTGATAAGCAGAAAAGTTGCACAATGTCACATTTAGTTCATTCCAAAGCTCAAATTATTCAATTTTTACACAAAAAAATCAACTTTTTAAATCTCCATTTTCACTCGCCACCTGATTATTTTTCCGCCGTACATAATTTTAACTTACCTTCGTTAGTATATTTTTTGAAGAAAAAAAAAATATATAATAATCATCTTTGTATCTGTTTGTCACACCAATGCTTGTGTACTCTTTCGTTGTTCAATATTTGCCTATAATTGTTTACTTGTGAAGGTTTCCCCATGATTTTTAAGTTTCATGTATTATTGTTTCTCTCATCAACCATATTAAGTACATATATTGATAAATATATATTATAATTTAATTGAGGAAAGTCGTCTCTTTGTTTCTTCAATACTGCTACAGAAGCTACAGCACTTTTAATTGAATGTTACTCATGAAACTATTCTTAAATCCAGTGGAATGTTTGAGCTCTTACGCAATAATGCCAATTTTCTTTACAATTAAACGTGTTACACTTGTTGCAATCAGCTGCATTTTACAATTACCATTGTTAAGCTCAAACCATCCTACGTTCATTAAAAGAAAAAAAATGAGTGCTCTTCTATTAAATGATAAAGAAACAGCAAGTATTCTGTACTTATTTGTTCAATCTTTGTAGTAACGTATTCTTGATAGAATAAATTATTGTTTGTATTTTTTTTTTGTTCCTCTATTTTCTTTATTTTCTTCTCGCTCACACTATTTATTTAGCTGTAGCTGACCAGTTACTATGTAGTATTATGTTGAAAACATTATGTACACGGTAAGTAATCATTTTCTGTTGTTTTCGTGTTGATTTTTATTAGCAAATATTCATATTTTATGTGTACTTCACCTACTGTTTTCAAATGTACCTGTAATCTCACTTTATCACGCACATGCACGTTTCTCATTTACAAGATTTTCTGTTTGATTAGACCCTGACTGCTAATTTTATCTTTAGATACACTCAGACAATTTATCTTACAATATCCTATTAGCGTGCACCCTCAAAAGACATTCCACTTGAATGAAGAAAACTTGAAATATCTCGTAGAATATTTAATCTCTCCTTGCAATAGCCAATTATCGATATTCCTTAAAAGATACACACATTAACACTGGTGAACGGAATGCAGAGGTCAATAATTCTTCAACGATTCGGAGGATGACGACGAGCCGAAAAAGATAATCAACTTGCAACTTGTCTTTTAAAATTCAACAATTGCCTACAATAATCAGAAATAAAAAGCTGAAACAAATGTCCAATCTCTTACTTCGAGTAGCTCTACCCTCGCAGTAAATCCGAACATTATTTTAAAAGTCATTTAAAAGTCTGGATGATTCCCATTAAAATAGCACAACTCGAAATTTTATCTCAAAAAATGACAAAAAATATTACAACTGAAAAAATTATTGCTTATTATGAAATTTGATAACTAAAAATATAAAACAAAACAAGGAAAATGACATAATAAATTTTTTATAATATTTTATTTGGTATATAATTGTCAATTACTCCCTTTTACTCACTACAACTCAAAAATTGAAGTAATTCGGATCGGATTGAGTGGTGAACGGAATTTTTGTTAATTATCCAATGCGTAAAAATGAAATAAAAAAATTAAATAAAAAAAAAAGGTGAAAATATAGGAATTAGAGGCCGAGAGGAGGGTAGAGTTGCATTAATGAGAAGAGATTATTGATGGTTTGGAAAATCGTTAGGATCGGGACAGAGCGAGGATGATGAGGCGATGGCATCGGTAGCTCTTCTTCACAATAAGCCAAGTCCCGGTTCAACGACACTAGAGGATGTACTCGATTCATTGCTCGGACTGCCACCGGCATCGCGTACACCAAGCCCAGGTCCTGGATCAATATCAACAACCGGTGGTGGATCATCGGCAATTCGCCATCACCGATCAGGTGGTACAACCAGTCAGACTAATTCAAAAACAGGGAAGAGCTGCAGTGACCTGCACCAAGACCTCCAAGGTAGGAGGACTATGTAAGTTTCAGCTCTGACGATCCTCACTTTTCTCCATCACCAAAAAAAAAAAAAATCAATAAATAAATAAACAGATAAATTTGCATTAATCGTAGCTCATTGATCGTCGATCCCCAATCGTACTGACCTGCAAATGAATGTTCAACAGTATGCATATTAATTTAAAACACAATCTCTTCACTCTTCATATCATCATTTTCATAATCACCGACACTATAAAAGTATTAATGTACGATGATTCACTTTATGATAAAAATTAATGAAAAATTGGGTAAAGGAAATGGTAAAAGTGGCACATGGAATTGTTTTATGTGACAGAGTGCGCTAAAGGAGCTCCAGAGTCTCCAACAAGTTGTCCAGATGGTCGAGGCTCTTGTCACAACGTCAGTGGTTTACTCCAACGCAGGAGAAGTGAAGGCAGTGATATTATTCCACCCCATCGTTTGTCCTCGCGCAGCTCCTCAAATATTCGGCATCGACGAGTATCATTTGACAGTGGTCAGGATAATCTCCCAGGTACATCGGACAAACTCATTAAATGCCGCAATCACAAGTGCAGCAACGGTACAACACTGGCAGAAGCTAAAAGAATCTACAAGAGTTGTCACAATTGCACTTATCTCTACTGTTCAAAAGAGTGCAGAAGAGCGCACTGGCCACGTCACCGTAGAACCTGCCTCCATTACCGTGCTGGAACCCTGTGCAGACAGGTCCTCTCATCAGCCAAAGAGGATCCAATGACGATAAAGCACATATCTGCACTTGCTAAACGGGGATATTCAGCTCACGGTCGTGGAGCTGTCAAATGTTTCTTCACGAGTCCCGAAGCAGCCGAACAATTCATCGGCAATGGATTTAAAGATCTCGGTGAACCGACGTACGTCCGTTGCTCTGACTTGCTCACTAGTGAAATGGGGGCTGAACTTTACACTGAAATAATGCGTCTCTGCAAGACCTACAATCCAGAAACAAGACTGGTACTGTTCGTTGCCGTTTGTGTTGTCAGTGAGGTACCATCCAGCGGTGCTGTCAGATGGGAACGTCAACTCGTATCAAGATGTGGTAAAATTCGTCTGGATCCATCCCAGAGAGTCATCCCTTCTGCATCGCCATCCCAAAATAAGCACCAGATTCAAACGTCATCTTCAGCAGCTGTCGCACCAGCTCCCACTGCATTACAATCATCACCATCCAATCATCCAGCTATCACACGTGAAATGGACTCACCAGAGACACTGGTACTCACATCGTTGCCTGAAAATCACGGCCAAAATACAACACGACGAACACGCGAAATTGGATTTACAAATATTCAGAGGCAACTCAGACAGCGCGGGGTATCACTACGCCGGCATTTCCCTCAGGTTTATACGAAATTATGTTCTTATGTAGACGGGACTGTTGATAAATTTGCACCAGTTACTATTTATCCACGTGATCAAGCGTCTGGTAAAAGTTTTATGTGTATTATTATGCTCGATGCAGAGCCAGAGAGACTGCAACTACTACCTACTGATTCCTCGAGAGTCAGAACTGTTGATATTAGTGTTGAACAGGAGTGATCATAAGTCTCGTTTGTTCCATTTTTATTTTCCATTTCGCGTATAATATCTCTAGTAATCCGAGTTGAGGTGAGTTTTCATTACGAAATTCAACGAATGTTAGCTCAATATCTTCGATATCTGCGAACCAATCGTGGAAATATTCAATGAAAAAATCGTAGCTAATTTAATGAATCGTTATGACGCGAAAAATCAAAAGATTCAGTCGTTTTCTCTATTGTGTTGCATCCTTTGTAGACTCTGTTCCTTTTCCTTTTTTCAAGAGTCTCGATTGGAGGAAGAAAACAAAAAACTCCTGAGGAGAAAAAAAAAATCAAACAGGAAAGTGCTTTTTGAAAAGAATAAGTATAGTATAATTGCATTGTTGTCGCTGGACCATCAAGCTTAATTGAAACATACTAATGTGTGCCAAAATTGAAAAAAAAGTCGTATCTCTCGTTAACTTGAGCCGACGAACGTAAACTATAAAAATTCATGAGAAATAATTGGAGTAACTGAAGGTAAATCAATGGAAAAGCAAAAATAAAATCGATAACATTCTCTATCCTCTTTCTATCTAGATTTTCTATTCTTACCAGCGTATAAATATTCAATTCATTATTAAATAAAAAAAAGAAGCTGACAACGGTGCCAACGCATTGATCACTAGCAATGCATCAATACAATGCGATTTTATTCTTGTACATAATATATATTGCCAATTATTGTCAAACGGAGAGTAATGATAAATAGGAGACAAAGAAAATAATGAAAATCCACGAAAAAATTAAAGCCCGAATCTCCAGTCGTTCGCCTCTAGAGGAAACTTTAAAAAATATTCGAAAAATGACATTGTGCTAAACGAATAATAATACAATTCATGCGTTTCGTCGGACAGGGTTCTAATTTTTGCATTCTCAGTGACAGAACAATTAAAGGTATTAGTTTCAATTGAAGTGTAAATAATTTTATTATTTTGCACATACGGAGCCATAGAACGATGTTGAATAATTTAATAGAGTATAGTTCTTACATCTGTCTAAATCCTGCAAAATTACCACAAAAATCATCCCAAGAAAATGTGAAAAAAAAAAATAGTTGATGAATTGAATAAATTCCATAGATAAGAAAATACTCTGCGTTTATGAAATCGCATTAAAATTCAATCGGCATGAGTGAATGAAAGTCGCAGATAAATCGTTAATGATATTTTCCCTTTTCCATGAATATCATTGCTCACATTGTATTTTCCGCTTAACAAACAAAAATCAGCGGGATCTCATCTTCCCATTTATCATCCTTGATCATTGCTTTTGTTCTTTGTTATTGAAAATCATTTATTATTAATATTGTAATGCGGAAATCGTTGATCCGCTGTTGTTTATTGATTAATGAAATATAACGAGCGTTACTATTTACAATGATTAATTTTCATTTTAAAATATTGATGAACTCGGCGAGGAAAAAGCAATTATAATGTGAATCGAGGATATAGTATTATATCGGCGCTATTTATCTGCTAATACTGTTTTTTGGTATTTGTGTACATCCTAATTTACGAAATAAACTGTTAATTTTATTTGACAATATCAGTATTTCATATTTTATCATTACTAAACATAATAGAGCACTTTTTAATGCAGCACCAAGTGGACATATTCCCTAATCCATTTTTCCAGAAATATCCCTGAAGTTGGAGTTCTAAAAAAATCGTTTCAACAAAATTGACGAGATCTCCCTTTTAAATTCAAAGATATTTGAATCGAAAGCTTTCTTATCAGTTAATTAGACTTTTATTACTCTTCCTCTTCGAAACTTAAGTGATCTCACATTCTCTTATCCTTCCGTTACTTTTAGAATACTTTCATAGTAGAGATGAAAGAATAAAAATGAGAATCTTTATTGGAAATAAAAATCCATGGAAGATCCGATTATCCTGTCAATCGATTTGTCATCGGGTGCTCGAATAATTTTTAATTACCAGTGGCCTCGTGCCCTTGAATACCGCAAATATTATCCCCACCCTCGAGGATGAATTCTGGAATGACATAGAAGCTGTGATATTCGCAGTGAATCAGTGAAATTTCAGTCGCGATAAAGTCCAAACGTTTCCTAGAGCAGTTGGTTAGTTAATAAAAAAATAGTATGAAGAAAGATGCCACATTTCGAGGCAATACTGTCGAAAGAAAAATCCTACAATCGCCTAATCAAATGCATTGTCTCAAACTCATACTTAAAGTACTTCACATCGAGTGACAATCTTCCTAAGGATGTCATAGGTACTTGCATAAAGGCGTCATCCAACTTTACCCACCTCGAAGATCATCGAGTCAATTATTTTCTCTGCCAAGTTGAATTATACAGAGACACAATTATTCAACACTGCCAACAATTCGCTGTAGACGATACTCTGGCATTCGAGGCACCGAGAAAATACCTAGAATTTCGGATTCTTTCGTTTCTCGATAGCAAACGTGAGGACATCCTCAAGAAAAACAAAAGGGGAAAGCCACCCAAATCCGTCCCTTTCTTTTATCTCAAGCAAGCAGCTTTGTGTGTAAACAAACTCATCTTGGAATTCAATTCGAGTGATCATTACCTCAGGTATATTTACTCCATTTACACTGCAATTGGCCACAAATGGTGGCGAACTCGGGTTTTGAATGGAGAAAATGTTGAACCTGGTGTCACTAATCCTGCTCAGGTAATAATATCCCATTGATTAAGCTGTAGTACTCGTAGAAATTGCTATTCACTGATATGACTTATTTACTTTTACAAATATCCATTAATTTGGGGGAAGTATTTCTTACTTACGAATTTATCCAGTCATTACCAGAAAATCATTACGTGAAAAAAATAATATTGTGATTATTGTTATTATTGTTATTATTGTTATTATTGTTATTATTGTTATCTGAATGGACTACGGAGTTCATGAAAACAAATACTTTTTTTCCCGTTAATGAATATTTGGGAGAGACTTTTATTTTAAAATTGTTTCCTCGATTTCGCAGGACTCAGTTGAGCAATTGTCTTTACCGAATAAAAAAAAGCGACAGACGGAAATGATCAATTCTTTACCCCTCAAGTGAGTTCTTTTTTTGAATTGATTTATTATATTTTGTTAGCAGAGGGAAAATAGCAGCGCGTAATAATTTTCGTTTGAAAATTTTTGTAGGAAACGAATATTGCAAAATCTCAGGCTGAACAATAAAAATGATGATTTCTGTCAAGTAAGCGTTCTTTCTTCGTGGAGGAAAAGAGTTTTTCATTTTTTATGTATCGACTGTATCATTTTAATATATTCTCACAGGAGCCCTCGACGACGCGATGTACATCAGCAAATAAAAGTTCCCAATGAAAATTAAAAAAAAAACGAGTCGTGAGATGCGCGAGTTATCCGCGTGTATTTATTGTAGCAAACAATAAAAAATTCATGTATTTCGTAGCATTGCAGATTCGTAATTGCATTTCAAACGTAAAAAAGTGTCACAAAATTAGCCTGAATGCTTGACAATAATTGATAATAATTTTTATCCTCAAATAATTTGTACTCTATCTTCAACTCAAACATCAGGATAAAAATGCTTTCAATCCAAAACACATCGCAATTACTAAACGTCAGGACAAATACAAAAAAGATGACTAAAAAAAAATATCGCTTGCAAATCACTGAAAAATTCAAAGGACGAATGATGTGTCTTACTTTTATGACTCAGTTCATGGAAAGTTCATAAACAAAAGAGGGAGAAAGGAATAAATACCTCGAAGAAATAGCAAAAGTGGCTTTATATTACCCTGGCAATAAAATCTGCCCCTTTCGCCAGGATGACCCATGGAAATCCGGGGTACGAATGAAGTCCCAAGGGTATCGCCGGGTCATTTCGTGTTTACCTGGCGATGTGAAAACATCTCCATCGAGAGACCATACACTGTAATCGCCCAAAGTGCCAAAAGTTTTCCTAAAACAATCATCATTCAACTCTCAAGTATTTTATTCACTTAACAATAGAATATTTATTAAAATTGCACTCCATACCAAAGTCACTATGAGGATTATGACAACGAGTCAGGAAATGTACAGCAGATTCATTCGGTGTGTCGTCTTAAATTCTCTGACGAGTATTTTCGAAGGCGATGGAGAAATTCCTGGAACAATAGCCGACATTTGTCTCTCTGCGATGTCTTCCAAGTGCACAGATATGAGGGACAGAGTTGATGAGTTCAATTACTTCGTAAAGACGTACCGAAAAAAAATCCTCAGAGATTGTCAACGCTACAGGGACGTGGGTGATAAGAAAGAAACTGTTCAAACACCGAGGGATGAAACTCTGGACGCAGCTTTTGCATATTTCGATGAGAATCGAAGTGAATTGGTGGAGAATGGGGTATCAGGAAAACTTTCAACGATGATTTCAACATCTGCACTTCAAAAAACAGCACAGGAGACTCTTGGCATCAATATCGATTATAAGTCGAATAACAAATGCGAGAGATACATGTACTGGGTCTATAGAAATATTGGTCTCAAGTGGTGGAAGTCCCGGGTGATTAATAATGAGAGCATTGGAACAGTAAATAAGGTAAGATTTCCATTTCCTCGATTTCAGTGAAAATAATCCAATATTTTTATCAAAAAATTCTTTAGATATCTTATTCTACTCTAAAAGAGGATTTGAGACATATTTCACTATTTGTCTTATATTCAATGAAAATCCTCGATAAATCCTCGGAGAACAAGTGGAATTGTTATCCTTTGCCTTTTCAATACTAAAATAAATTAGCAGGAATGAATAAAGAGGAGATAAATCATATAAATTAATGGATTAATGATTAACGTGTCGTATTATTGCAGAACGCAGAGAAATCGCCCGCTTCTACAGAAGTTAAATCCGCAGATTGTCTACCTATAAAGTAGGAAATGATTATTATAATTGAATTGTTTAATAAAATGATGGATTGTGCAATAAAATATGAATTTTCGTTTTTCAGAAAGAGAAGATATAATGAAGAAACTGATGAGAACGCGAATACGTGTGTCAAGGTATGCAATGTCGATTGATTTGTAAAATCGCGGGTCTAGCAGTGAATTAATACTTTTGATTCTATTGCAGAGTGAGTCCCTTGGCAATGGGTCTGGAAATGATGGAAGACAGTCCCCAGAAGTATTTTGGGTCAGATCGGATAAACATTTTCGTTCTCTGATGAAATTGGAGCAGAGAAAGAAAAATAAGATGAAACGCCAGTCTATCTAAACACTTCTTGCTCTTCAACATTTTGAAATTCGAAAATAATGGCATTGTACTTTTTTGTATTCGTATGAAAGAATAAATATAGATTTTTGAAAAAATAAATATTATTCATTTATTTATAATTAAACAATATTAATTCAAGAGGGATTCCCGAATTATCGACTTTCAATAAACAAGACTCCAGACTCTGAAGATAATTTTTCCATTATATCCCCTGAAAACGTAATTGTTATTTAAAAAATCTAAGTTATGAAGTTGTTAATTTGGATAGTGGAGAAAACAATAATTACTCAGTTCTGGTGCACGTAATATTTTTTTTAATAAAAAATTTCATTTTGAATCTGTCGAACGTTCACCTCTGGCAGCTCAACAGTGCGACAGACTGCGCATTGGATGCGACACAGTCATCGACAATAAAATATAATATTTAAACAAATAGTTTCAATCAACCCGAGAATCTTTGTGAAAATAAAGCCAAAGTGATGGATGACGAGATCGATATTTATGGAGATCTGGATGACTTCGATGAAGACAAGTTTGAGATTGTGAGAAATATGAATTTTAGGTTATCCCGAATTTCGCGGGAACTAGGAATTGGACAAGTAGTGTAATATTATTTTTTATTGTTTGCAGACTCCTGAGGGAGTCAAAGAGTTGCAGGAAGAGAATACCGAGTTGCAGAGAAAAATTGAAGAGCTCAGGGATGAATTGGAGAAGATAACTAAATACTCTAAATCTCTGGAGACCAATATATCGTCTCTTCATAAAACAGCCAAATTAGAAATTTCAAGAAAAGATAGGATGATCTCAGAGCTTCGCCAGGAGTAAGTTCAATCGCAATCTCAATATTATTGGGAATAATATTGATGAAGGAATATTATAGTAATAATTGATATTCAGTTTGCTACAGAAAGGTTCTTCAAGGTTTATTCTGAATTCCTCCACAGATTGGACAACGCAGCTTTCAGACGAAATAATAATTTCCGTATTCCGAAGATAACTCCAAGACCTTCAGTCATCTCTCTGCCCCCGAAAGATGAATCGACTTGCACGGAAATAAAGAAAGAAGTTAATGATACAATAAAGAAGGAGGAAACGGAGTACAGCAGCCCGTTGATCAACGAAGACGAGGCAGAAGATGAAGAGTATTTTTATCAATCGGAGAATATTCCAGTGACACTCTTTGGGGCGAGACTGAAAAAACGGCTCGAACAAGAATCCCGAGACGAAGCTGAAGCCCTTCGAAGAGCCCAGGAAGAGAAGACTCAGAACCCAGACCTCGATAAAGCCCCTGAAGATATTGACGTCGTAAAAAATAAAGAGGACAAGGGAAATCAGTATCGACTGATTCCCTTAGACCTCCAAAAACTCTCTGAAAACGTGAGGAAAAGAGGTTGGGAGAGCCTAGAAAGACTGGATGATGCCAAATCATCAGAGAAACAGGATTATCATAGAACGAGGGACAATCACGAGAATAAGAGGAGAAAGTTAGACGAGAATGAGAGTCGAAGGAAAAATTCTGGAGATAAATCTGCATCCAGCAAAAGGCTGGAGATTGAGGCAGAGTATTGCTGCCCTGGGGAGACAATTAAGGATGAACCTTATACAAAGCGACATTATGAAGACAGATCAGACTCACATGGAGGCTCCAGGCATCAGAAAACTGGCAGTGGTTCCAAGAGTAGATCCAGGAGCAGAGAGAGGAGCAGAGAGAGAAGCAGAGAGAGGAGGGACAGGAGGGACACTCATTCCTTGTTAGATAGGAGAAAAGATTCCAGGGGGCGGAGCAGATCACCACGTGGACATGATTTGGAGAAGGGGAAATACCGAATAAGCAGAAAGGGAATAATTGATAATAGGTATGAGAACAGCAGAAGAGAAAATCCAAGAAATTGGAAGCGACTGATTCGAAAACAGGTGAGTCCTGTTAGAAGAGTGAAGTTGCGACTAGGAATAGGGAGGAGAAATAATGATAGACTGGACAGAAATATTCAGGATAAGAGTAAATTTAAAAATGAGGGGAGGAGAGAACCTCGCATTTTTGAGAGAATTGATAGATTGAGGAAGCCTAGGGAAGCTCCTAAAAACACTCGTGTCAGTAGAAAGAATATAAATAAAATGATAAATGAGACGAAACCGGGAGATAGGATGAGGGAAGACTATATCCGAAAAAAACCGAGATCAAGGTCAAAGTCTCTGTCAGCTGAACGAAAAAGACGATATTCCGAGGAGAGGACGAACATTGAAGAGGATAAACCACTGGAAATAATTGTTAATGAAGAGAATAAATTGCAGGACAAACCACTGGAGGTAGAGATTAAAGAGGAGAATACGGTGCAGGACGATTCGGATGGGATGGAAGAGGGCGAGATACCTGATAGTCCAACTCATGATTTTCCAAGTTCCACGTTATCTTCGAGAATTGAAAAAATTAAAGTGTCGCCTTCGAGAGACGACCAGATTCACCCTGCTGAAAATGAAGTATCGTACAACTTGGATGATTCCTTGAAAGAGGAAAAAATCGAGAATATCGAGCTGTTCATTGAGAAGCTGCAGAGCAACGATAAAGATTTTTTCCAGGAGACGAGGAGGAGGAAGGACGATGAGCTAAAGTCATTATCTGAAAACTTACAAGCGAAATCTGAAATAGTATCTGACAGCAAAGAAAATTATACGGAAGATGGCAAAGGGATAATAGAAATGACTGCAAAGGTATCGGAGAAAGATACTTCGAATGAATCGGTGCATCTCACCAGCATCCTCGGGGATTCTTCAGATGAGGACACCTGCAAGTCAGTACTGAATCAAAAAATAACTGATGTTTCTAATGATCAAGTGGACACGCAACTGCCAAATACGATTCCAGTGAACGATTCCAATTTCCCAATAAATTCAGCCACAGATAACACCGAAAAAATCTCAAATACTGCTCTGCAAGATGTGGAAAGTAACGAAACAAAATCTCCTGTTCGCGAAGAAATTGCCGACGAGAATGTTAAAATCGAAGATGCACCGAAATCAAGTGCGAAATTATTGCAAGCACTTCAAAGTCCACGAGTAATTCTCCAAGAAATCGACTCAGTATCGAAAACAGTGAAATCAAATGAGTCTCAGCCCCATAGAGCATCATCAAGGGAAAAGGAGAACAGTGTAAAAAGCAGTGATGTTAAAACAGATAAAATAATAGTAGTAGCTAGAAGAAGGAGAATCAGATTAACCGATAGTTCTACTTCCATGACGGTTGTGGCGAGTGAGCACAATATCGACGAGAATCAGTAGCGAAGGGAATTGAAACTAGGAGCTTTCATATTTCAATGTTTTTTTTCTACGAACAAATGAGGTACCTGAATATCCATACTAATTATTTTGTGTTTATTACATCGATGCCTCGAAAAATATTCTGAGAATATGAGAGCTTAGATTGTAAAATTTCATTTCTTAATTAAAGCAACGGATTTGAAAAGATGATCTATGAAGAATTTCCTGTTTTGTTGAAGCTTGAAGTTGCAATTGCATAACATTTTTGGTTTCTCTCTGTCACGAAATTGAGAATCTAGAGGACGAGACTGAAAAGTTTAATGGAATAAAAGTGAAAGCTGATTTACAAAAGGAAAAGATAATAGAGAAAATAGCGAAAATAATATATAATATGCGATATAAAATCTATTCTCTACTTGTTTTTCTTTAAAATTTTATCATAAAACTCGAAAAACGTATTTTTAGGAAAAATGAGCAGATGCTGGGGGTTGTACTCTCCACAGATTTTCCTTCGGTCGTTCGTATTATTCTCTCGCTCTCTCAGCCTCCCAGTGACCGAGGGAACATCTGCCTTCAACCTATCCAATAATAATGATTTTCCATCCCCTCTTGATCTCCCTGAGGACTTAGTCCGTAGTACAGCGGAATGACGTTATTGGAGGCGAAAATTCGGATGTGTGTGTGGTTTCTTCTGCGCTGTCGCCAACGAAACATGGACGGTTATCAATAGCATCAGTGGCAAGAGCAAATTATCATTTTTACCTGTCACATTTTTTTTCTAATTGTCAACAACACCAGGAATTTTCAATTCAACCCCATAATTCAAAGATTGGGTGCTCATTTAAGACTGACATCATGAGAATTTAACGAGTGCTGAGTGAAGGGGTGTGAAGAAACATTTCAGGCAGTTGCTTTTTTTCGTCAAAACCGTCGGTTGTCTCTTATTCTGACGCACCAACAGTTTCGAGTGTGCGTTTCATTTATTTATTTTTCTTTTTTTTTGGAGAAGAGAAAGGGAGAAATTTTGTGAAATGGGTTCAATAGTTCTGAGATCTTTGTCTGTACTTCTTGGAATATTTTTTGTATTCGTGGGAACAATCAAGGTTACTTCGTACCTCAGCAAGGACCTCCACAAGGATTTGGTAAATTCATTTAATTATGTCGTGTGACTTTTTTTTTTCTTTCAAGTCATTTGGATTGTTATGTAATGAAAGCGTGGGACGCACTCGTGTGGGGATGACAGGGTCAACTCATGAAGACATTTGAACTTGTCTTCGAGAGTTGTTACATTTTTGGATCATGCACTTTACCTGTTTATTTATTCAAGCTTTTATGCAAGCGATGAAAAGCATAAACACTTGAAGCTAATCTCAAAAGGATGATGAGGTTTACAATCTGTGGATTCATTCGTTTATTTTCTTTACCAGCCCGATTTATTTCCTTTAAATATTCACAAATTTTCAAAGACTATTGATAAAATAATTGTTGATGTATAACGTAGGAGAATTGGTTTGAGAAGTTCTGTTTGAATTCCGCCTAATTTTAAGATGAATTAAAATAAATCGAATTGTCTTATGAAATTCGGGAATATTCAATAAATATCTGAGTGGGAGCTTCGGTAGCCAAAACCTTCTACGCTTTCTATTTTTGCACTAACGATCTTATTTGCCACATAACAGTGGTTCGTCAGCTGAGCGGTTTGTTACATTTGGTGTAATGCCAAACTCTTGCTAAAATTTATCACATTCCTACCTGCAATGATAAGTCATTGTTGTTTGTTGCTTCAGCGAGAAAATTTTTTTCTTCTTCTTTCCACAGCGAAAAGAATATGTTAAGTATGCCAAGGTGTTTCCACTCTCGGAGTTACTCAACTTCAAAGTACCCAGCAAATGGTACAGACGAGTTGTTGGATCATTGGAGATTATTTGCGGATTGGCAATGGCCACTATTCCAAATCGTGAGACCAACAGAATCATTAATATATTTTTCTATATGTCTCGTTATTTACTTAATGTCTCTTTCAGGAAAAGTGAAGAATACATCGAATGCCGTTTTACTGTTTCTCATGCTGATGGCTTTCTATTCGCATTATAGACTCAATGATAAGCTGGAGAGAACGGCTCCTGCATTAGTAAGAATTTCAATTGGCTACATAATCATTTTGGAATTATCCAATATAAATTATCATTATGTCATATAATTGCATTTTGTTTCGGGACAATTTTGACAATTTTGGGGACTAGAATTCCGACGAAGTGTCACAACATTGTGATAAAATTGAACACTTGCGTTAATTGTGGATTTCTAC